TCTTACAATGAATAATTCGTTCGATTTGGGCTTACGAGAAATTCGTTAAGCGAAAATTCTTTATCCGATGACTTCGTTGTGAGGTCTCAGGACATTTGTTCAGCTGGGATGAGACCTCGGTCGATGTGGTCTCGAGGGTCGTGGCTGTTCCGACAGAGGCTTTGAGAGAACCATCGGCTATGCTTTTGAAATGAAACTCCGAGGGCTTCGCCATTATCGTCCGATTTAGAAGTCGTAATACCGAAATACGCGTCGGTCTCAGTACACGACTCATCTGGGATGGAAGTCTTTAGTCGGTCACGTTAAATGGCCGGAAACCAAGCGAAGTTTGTTCTATTGACCGCATAGCCGTTTAACAAAACATTTATTTGTGAGATGGTCTAATGTAAAATCGAATATTTCGATAAAGAACATCATTTGATATTTTAAATATTTTAAATGTTAATTATTGTAATATTTTAATAAGAATTTATTGTGATTAGACGGACAAGATTTAAATAATAAATAATATATAAACATTTATTTATCAAATCAACCAGCATCGTTGGTAATCCCGAAGACGACAGGTCAGTTATAAGAGCTAGGCGTATGTGGGAAGATATTATTAAAATGAATCTAGATAGAATTATAAGGGAATTGATGTGGCTCAGGATACGAACTCATGACTTTTGACCAGCTGATCTTAGTGAACGTTTCTCAAGGAGGTTTATAAGCGCTGGACCAAATGCGTCATCCTCTTGAATTAAAGGGATGACGTTTTATTCTGTTGAACAATGCCTTCCCGCTACGAAGTTTCGGCGTCAAATCTGGTAGATTTTTCCGACGTTTCAGAGGTGCTTCCACTATCATAGCGATTATTGTTGGAAGAAAAAGGCAAGCAAGAACCTCCGAAACGTCGGTGGTAAACTTTTACCAGACTACGCTGGGTAACATGACAGAAGACCGCCATCTTCACACCTGTCACCGCCAGAACTTGAAATGCAACTTCATTAAATGGTTAAAGATAGACGGAGCGTCGCGTCTCGGAGACCCCCTAAATAAACTGTAAACAAACCGAACGACTGTCGAGTGTGAGGGAAGGCAGTGCTTTGTGCCGCTGTTGCAGGGAGTCTCGGCTCGAATAGTGTGAGCGAAGTCCGCTGGGCTCGCTAGTGTGCGAGCGGACGGCGATCTGAGCGCACGCTCGGCTGCTCCCGTGCGTGTGTTACAAAACAAGCGACGGCTGTTTGAATTCAGTGTGTTCGAGATATATGGACCATTTGTTTTCGCCTGCGGGATGATAAAAGCATTCTTCTTTCCGAGGCGTTTAAAAAATAAGTGACTGACGGTTTCTGATGGATGAAGAAGGTGAGTGGTTAACTGTGAGTTGTAGCTGATTAGTGAAATTATGTCCATTGTTGAAGATGCGAAACTCTCGCTTGAGAGAGGAACAACAATGCGCGTTTGAAAAAGTTAACGGTAAAATCTGTCGGTGGCGAAGAATTAACGAGAAAGCAGACATTGATTCCAAAGGAGATAAATTAAGTGGGGAATGGAAGAAATTATAATAAAATGTCGAACTTCTAATGTAGTCAGCGTACGTAAATCGATATGTGTGTGGAAAAGTGGTATATAAACGCGGAATATTTTACGTGTAAAATGTAAAATGAACACGTTATGGGCGGTGTTTAAACAGTGTTTTGAAATTCGCCTATTGTTCAATACTTAACGAAACACGAAAATGTTGTGTAAACTTATAATCTCGACGTGCCTCAGTCGGCAAGTCGAATGGCTACTATCTCGGCAGGTAGGAACAACGAGTCTTACCTCCAATGTTTCGTGAATGCGCCAATCGCCTGATGTCCGCTGTTCGTAAGTGACGAGGGAAACTTTGCATTTGATTTTGATGGTTATGACACTTCGCTATCCGTAGAACCTCCTGCGCCAACCTTCTGTGTCGAAGTGATAAACTTACTCACTTGTTTATTTTCCGTCTCTGATTAGAATTTCTCTAAAACGTTTTGTGTGTACGATGAGGTTAGGATTGGCTACGAAATTTTATCGGAAACCTTCGCGTGCACTGAAATTCAAGGAAGAATTGTACGTGCCTCGTAGACGGGGCACGTCCCGTTCATCACGTGACTCAGCCCGCAGTGATTTCTGTACATGTTTTCAGTTACTTTGTGTACGTAGCAAGTGGCCATTACGACCAGTGAGAGTCCAGGGTTTCATTAATGGTTCAGCGACTGTTGTCGTGTTATGTTTTCCACATTGCGCATGCGTGGCGTTTAACTTACTGTCGACCCGTTCAAATTAACTTTAGCTTTGGAGTGCCCGTAGAAGACGATCTTAAAACCCGTGCGAGATAAATTATTAAAAAATTGACTGGACTGAACCGTGAGTCTTTCTTGCCCGAGCACGTAAAAAGAGTCTACGTTCTTGGATCATGCATTTTGATTGGTCGTTGGTCGAAGCAAAATGACGTATTTATTTAAAGTTTACTTTAGCTCTGCTTAAATAATGAAATCGAACGGTATCTGGTGAAAAAGTTTGTCGTCGAAGGGAGACGTAAAGAATCTCGACGAACTTATTACGACAGGAAAAGACGCTTGTGAAAATTACCCATGAATCTCTGCGGGAACATTTAATTTGTTTTCGAACAAAATGTCTGCCGTCACTCGCAAGAGACCTGCGAGTGTGTTGGAAAAACAGGGTTTTGGAAGAAAGATGCAGTGGCTTTAGTTTGAAATAGCGAACATAGATGGCAGGATGCTAGGATTCCGAGACACTGATTTGCTTCTCAAGAACGTAACTGGACTTCGATCTGTTGTAAGCTCCGTTATTTCACGTCGTCCTGTGGGTCTGTCGTGCGCTGTGCCATACTTTCTGGTGGGCGAAACTGATGTCGAGGATAAAAGAATCATTAACATTGCAGCCCAGGATTGGAAGGACTGAGGAAAATCACGAAAGCTTACAGTTTCGTTCTCCATATTTCGAAGCTATCACAGCCTCGATCGAAAATATAAAAAAGTATCACAAACTTACGAAAAAAAATAACGTTTTGAAATAACTATATTTTAAACGAGAGATCTCCATCTGCAGAGTAGAAATTATCGAAGATGGTAACCCCCCAGTTTCGTAGATTTCTTCTGTACTTTATTTATAAATATGTTTTGTATGCTTCAAGCCCGTGTTTTTAGAATGAGCTTTATTCGTCTCCAAAAACCCTTAGAGCAAGATTTTTTTGAAGACTGAGCCGTGTAATAATATAAGAGTTACATTAACAGGAATCATGGAGGAAAACCACGATCAGGTCATGAGGGAGAACTTATCACTACCGGAATAAAAATGTCCAGTCGAATGTTGTTCTTAAATTTGTTTTTGTCTTGTCTCGTAAATGACGAACGCATTTCAATTTTATCTGCGATTGTTAAATAATCGATCCATCGATCGAACTACTACTCGTATAATAGTCGTTGCTTGTTGAGACGCAGAAGACTCCAGGCCTGTGTACTCCTTCACTGTTGGGTTATTTAACACAGATTATAATTGCTTCTGATGATTGTAAGGTTTTGCGACCTTATTTTTCCGTAACAATAAGGGATGTCATGTCACGTGACAGAGTGTCATGGCGTAGTGCGTTCTGAACAAGTGCAATATAACTCTACACATGTATAGTAATCGATTTGCCAGCGGGCAGACTTGTTTTGGAACACTACTAATTATCAGTTCCCGATACGACGTATAAACAGCCGTATGATCTGAGCCAGCGATGTTATAATAACTAATGTGAGTAGCCCAAAAACAGAATTTTAGAAGCCATTGGTTGAGTAACAGTGTTAAGATACCTTCAGCCGACGTCTCCCCCTGAGCGTCACACGCATGCGCGAGCCTTGCGCCAATCAGCTCTCTTTTGTCGTTTCAATTCCAAATACGTAATATCTCCTGTTTACGTGTTTTTTTTCACACAGTGTACCAACTTTCCCTCATTAAATTAAATTATTTTTAATTATTGTCGTCAATTGCAGATTAAAAAAAAATTGCAGTGTCCACGAAGAGAATTTCGAAATTAAATTCTGATGAATTTTGCCAAAATGAAAGAATTTGTCGTAAAGTAGGGAAATTCTCACGTCTGTCGATAGATGGAAGCACCGTGCGCGGATTTATTTAGTTGGCGCTGAGTCAGTTCGGACGGCAGATGTCATTGTTTGCGGTCGGCCTTCAGTCGATGTGCGTTCTGTTTGTTTGTTTAAGTTTTGTTTGTATGGTCGCAGCGTTATTTTTGATTTGAACTGTTTTGAACCCTGTGATGGACACGTGGATGAAAAACTGGCACCAGCAAGATGCAAGCAAATGCAAGTTCATTAACATCCGGTGTATTCTCAGATTGACGTGTCGAATCGTGACCCAGAGAAGTCTCCCTCAAGAGAAGAACAGATAACAAGAGACATGTGCTTTGTCATTGTCATTTTGGCGGAGTGATTCGAAAACTCACGAACAGTGAATTAATTATGTGGTAACAGGATTTTTTTATTAAATTGTGCTCAGTGTTATACATTTTGTTCTCGTGGTACATTGTTGGAGAATGGCTTGAATTATAACGAAATCCCATTCACTTGTTTCGAGTGGAAGACAATGCCCAGTTCTTGTATTTTATACGTGCGATATTTGATGTCTTATAACGCTTTAAACATGAGTGGTAACTATACGAACCATTTATTTGGTTTCGCGTTTTTAAGCTGTGTAATTTTACTACGCTAACCAAGCTAGAAGAAAGTTGTAACTTAAAACGTTTCTATCAGTGGACATGTTTGTTCAGGAGACAGTGCGAGATCGTTGTGTTATGTCTGAGAGCTTTGAACTGTGGAAGTAACTTTATCTAATATGTTGACACTGACGTTGAGCGGATGTTTGTGGATCGGGTAGTAGTGGGGCCAGTTCGCATGCGCGGGAGTCAGACGCTTGGTGGCTCCACCGACGCAGTCCCCAGCCGTCCTGTGCGCGGGGCGGCAGGCAGTGTGAAATGGTGGTGTGCCGTGTGTGTTGTGTGCTTCGCTTTGCCGCATTGAACTTGTTTTGCAAGGAATCTGTGTCGCCTTCTTCAAGTGAGTCTGATTTAGGTTAAGTCTGTTCTGTTTGTGTCAAGGCCTCTCCGCTGTGAACAGTTTAAGTATTCGGTCGGTACGTTGTTTAACGACGTAAACGTTGCTTGCGATGGAACGAGGTGGAGAACGTATAAAGGAACTTCAGTCCGACAACTTGGTGTAATGTTCAGCAGCCATGTTTCCTTGCAACCAGTTGTTGTAACCTAAAACGCGTAGAAGTGAATCACGTATGAGTTTTAAGTTCGTATAAAAATATGCGTCTTGGCATTACTAAAAGTATTTATTAAAAATTGTGAATGACTTAGATGGATAAAAATCTTCTCAGTATATTATAATTTTTTTTCGTGACATGAGATGGTCTGATGATGGTCCGGAAGGGCAGAAACGTGTAGCCACAGAATAGTTTCACGAAAGAAATGTTTTGTGTGAAGTAACATTTTTTTTTTTATTTTGTCGTAGTTTTGTCAGGACAGTTAAATCAATGAGGTTATGTGGACTGGGCTTGTTTGTCGCATGAAATATGACGGGTAGACGTCAGAATGTTTCTCTGGAATTCAAGCCGTGAGAAGGTAAGTTGTGTTGGATTTGGTGTAAGCCAGGCCCGCCCAACCTGTAGCTCGCGGGCAACACAGTGTTATGTCGCCCGCGGAGACATTTGAAATAAGAAAACGTATTTTTACCCTTTCCCTGGCCGAAACAAATTCCACCCGTTTCCTGGCAAATTACGAAAGAAAACTTCCATATTCCCAAGTGACCCCATCTTGAATCCTTATTGTTAACTGTTCACCGAGATTAAAAAATATCTTTGTCGACGTGTATTATTACGCGGATGTTTTCTAGTTGACGACTTGCACATGCGCGAACACCAGCAGCGGCTCCTTTCTGATATTTTCATAAGTTAAAATCTGTGCAATAATATTTTAAAAAGTTTATGAACTTTTTATTTGTGGAAACATAATTCGTTTTGTAAAAATGTGCTGAATATAAACACACCTTAGCCTAGGTTGTAAATTGCATTTTTTTAACAATTTTTTCACATTATCTTTATATTTTTATTGTATATAATGTGTAGAAAAACACGCAGATAAAAGTAATATATGTCATTATGCGTATTGAACTTAATGTTGCCCGCACGACAGAAGAGGTTATGTTCTCCCAGCGACTCGTCTAGTAACTCACCTGCGCATGCGTTCGATGGCGCGGAGGGATACAGCGTATTTGCCAGGAAGCCGCCAGCCATCTTGGATTTTTGTCAACGCTGTGATTAACAGTAGGGGAACGTAAAATCTCTCCGTTTTGCGCTTGGTAACATGGCGGGTCTCCGAAGCGTCATATTGCATTTGGTTCTTGCCTTAGTCATCAGTCAGCGTATCGGTTCCCTGTCTCCTCAGATGGTATAGAAGCTGTGAACTGTAATTGGCGTCGTTAAACACCCGACTCATTGAGGTGAGATGGGAACGTAGCACAAAGCGAGAACATTCACGTCTGTTGTATCGAGTTGGAGTGTTGTCCTGTTGCCATAGCTGGTCGTCCGACTAGGCTTCGTGTTCGCGACGAAAAGTTTACGTCAGTGCGCGGCCTAGGATGCGCGTACGCCCAGCGAACGGGACGAAAGATCGCTTATCGGTTTTCTCGCTCTGGTATGTTCGTTCGTGGGTCCGTTTACTAGTACAGTTAGTAAAATAAAAATAATTTTTTTCCCACTTGTACGTGCTTACAACGCAGCCGGCGACTTTGCACTAATTACAGCCCCAACCAACACAACACTTTTTTTTTTTCAAAAACGCGAACAGATGACGAGCGTGTGGCGAAAGCGATGTGTTGATTACCTGCGGTTAAGATATCAGCAGGAGCTCAGTGATGAAGGGTTTTTGCATTGTTCGAGAGCCACGTGGACACAGCTGTTCTCAAATATTTGTTTATTCCTTGGTGGAATCTTTTTGATTGTTTCACATTTGATGCCGCGGTGGGGAGTGTGATGTTGGTTGTCTTCTTGGACGTTACGCCGAACCCTGTGTTGATCGAGGTTTCAGAGGTAATCACCCTGATGATGGATGCAGTAACATCACGCGAAACAGTCATCTTCACAAATGATTTTTTTTATGTCATGTGAGTTGTCATGGTAACGAGACGTGCATTTATGTTTCGTGTTGTCGAATTTTTTTTATTCTCTTGTGTTTAACAAATGCAAAGCACTTCTGGAATCCTGCATTTTATGTAGTTGGCGTATGGCTCACCTCAGAAGTACGCATGACGGACAATATTGTCGTGTGTTTTATGCATTCAAATTTGCGTGTATTGACGATAGAATATCCAGGGCGGACTGTGAATATATCGGCGCGACCTGTTTTAGTTAACGCTGAGTATTAGCCCACGGCCATACGTAGAACGTAAATTACTGATTGCAATTAAGAGGACGTGCCTTCTGATATCAGGGTTTTTTTTTATAGGACGCAGTAAGCGAGCCTTAGAACACGAACCTCCACGCGGTTGGCACGACAGACACGAGCCAGGGTCAGAAAAGTAGCGAAATTTACGCTCTTAATGTCGTCGGAATGATTCATCTTCTTTGTTTTTCCACTGTGATAGCGGCCCCTGGAAATTTGCAGACGAAAGCACGAACAATTACCTGTCCGCCTCGTCACGGCGCGATATCAAAACGCAACGGAAGGCAAATCTCGAATTTCAAAACGCCAAGCGTCGTCTGTTTTGATGAAGAAGGGGCTATCTCCACAGGTGAACCTGGGCGCGGAGGACCGAAAGTGAATGACGCACAGAGATTTAATTTTTATTTAGTGTTCTGTCTGGCGACAGGTCCATATGAACAGGATCGTTCCATCCTTTTCTCGGACTGGGCCCTGTTCATATACGTTCTTGGCAGATGATCCACAAGTGGTTTGCCATTGCCTTCTTCTGTGTGTGAATGGAGTAATTGTTGGGATGCCACGGAGGAAAACTCCGTGTTGCCTAGACCACGGCCTTGCCCAACACAAGTTATAAATTCGGGCACCGCCGGGAATCGAACCCGAGACCCCAGGATTACAAGGCCAATAAGGTAACCGCTATGGTCTGCACAGAGATTATTAGACTCTCATTTGCTAACGAGATTATGCGAAAGTAGTGTTTGGTCAGAGGCATAGTCGCGTAATATTTGCATCTGCTGATAAATCGCATCGAAAGAACGCGGGTAAACCTTGCAGACCTTCTGTGTAACAGCGTTAAAATTTACTTCGTGAATGTGGCAACACTGTTTACCTTCCCCCGCTGTTCTTTTGTTAATCAAGGACCTGAACGCTGTAGGGTCCTGAGACGAGAGAGAAAACACCCATTGATCCGTTTCTGGCCGCGCGCTCAAAATTTGTGAAGTCTTTTAAAATTTAATGCAATTCACCCAACGACAACGAGCTCGCACTTGAAGCCCTGTACAAACTGCGACTGTTTCTGGGAAACTCTGCTTCGAGGAAAATGTAATTTATAATATTCCGACCTGCCTCGTGCGATGGAAGGTCTTGTTACCGAGTCAGAGTGGAGAAAGGGCGTCCTCGATCGTAATGTCTTCACGTGCCTTTGACTGGGCGTCTGACCGACGCCGTGTAATTCACGGCGTCACCGCAAGGGGATCTGTCTCGTCGCGCGTCGTGCAACAGCGGGGGTGTCTGCTACGCTCATCACGAAGGCACTTGTTCTGGATTGCAGTTGGCGTTTTGGGGGGCAGGACGTGGTTTTTGGGGCACCGGTTTTAAGTTATTAATAGCTTTTGAGTTTGTCATTTGTCTTTTCACGTAGTAATCAAGTGGAAATGTTCGTAAATTTGTAGCAGACTGATTTTTAGGCATCGCGTGGTAGGTTCAATATTTAATTGCGTTTTGTTATATTTCGGTAGCCTTAATATATTTTTTAATGACGTCTACATTACTTGAACGTGCTAAAAAATAAGTTATGTAAGATTTGAGGTTTTTACAGCGGTGAGTATGAAGATTTCTGTCCTGATGACGGAGGCAGTATGACCTCCGAAACGTTGGTAAACATCGACCAGACTACACATCGCAA